GTTATTTAAATAAATATACCAGTGTTTAATCATTTACATTTGACTTATGATCCAATAATAACTACAAAGGTTACATAGCTAATAATAATACATACTACCTACGTAAACAATTGATAATGCACAAATAAGTCTTACATTTAAGTAATTGAATATTCCCATAATGGAGTAAATGTTTTTAATGTTTTAATGAATATCATTCGAGAATTTAGTTGTATAACTAAAATCCGTAATTATACATTTGATAATGCGTCGGTCAATACAATTTCATTGAAAATTAGATGTACAACTTAACCCTGACTTTGGTGGTTTATCATATTTTTAATTTAATTTTCAAATATGGGCTAAAATTCGTAGAAGGACGGTTAGAAAAAGTTAGGTAGCTCTTATACAATCTTCTCTAGTAGAAAAGAAGTAGTCGATGATTTATTTATAGAAAATGGACTAAAAGCAAGAACATCTATAGCAGATGTAGTTCATAAACGGTACTCAACTTATCTTTTATCTTATGCTACAATCTTGTGAACGTTATGAAAATTTTGTTACTGATTATTACAACAGTTGATACTTACACGATCTGAGTTATAAAACCATGCTTAGGAAATTTCATCTCTTATGAGAAATTTTTTAATTTTTTTTTGCAACATTAGGAACACACGTTCGAGCGTAGACCATCATATTAGTCTACTCATTGTCACTAATTTTATATTGTTAATAATTTCAATACATATAAACATCTCATATTTTTCGATCGTAATAGTGATGGAGGCTACTTTTGGAAAATATTGGAAGGAATTACCTATATTGTTTTTGTTAGCTTCAGTAATGGACCATATATTTAATATAAAGAATATAAAACATATTGTAATCTCAATTATGAATAAAATTAACTTTTTGACCAGTTGCCCATAGTAATCGGAAGAAAATTTTATACGAGATGTATGAGGTATACATCGAAAAAAAATGACAAAACATTTGACAATCCACCAAAAATGGTTACTCCATCATCACACAACGACAATGATTTATGGAGCTACTTTAATTTTTATAAAGGTACTTTGGTTTTGCTCAAAACAAGCTTAGTATTTTAGATAAGGGAGAAAAGAAATATTTTTACGTGCTTATGCGGTAAAGAACAAATGAGCGCCAATGTCCAATCGTTTCTATTATAACACGTGATAACCAACTCCTTTTCTATATACTGTAGTATCGGAATTTGCTTTCAGTGCATGTGTTAGGTTTATGTATGATTATAGATGAAAACTTATAGAAGATATAATAAAAAATTCACTAAATCCAAGATGGACGCGTTACTAGCTAAAGATTTTAAAGTACTGATATTATTTTAAATGTTGTTTACTCTTATAAAACTTAAGGAATGAGAGAGAAATGTAAGAGAAAAAAAAATATAGACTCAAAACTCAAGTGTGTGATTTTATCATGTGTTTGATCTATAAGTTAGGGTTCAAAATGAAAATTACGATTTAAATTGAATTATAGTAAAAAAAAAAAAAAAAAACTTATTTAACTATCAAGACAAGATTAAATAGACATCAATAATTATACGATAATTTTATAATACTTCTCTTTTGATGACTATTTGTACAATATCTATCTTGCTAAAAATCTGTTTTGGCGAAAAATTAGATGGGATAAAAGAACCAAATAAAGAAAAAAAGGTAAAAAAATTTATAATAAAATTGGAGTAATAAAATGACTTCTCATTGAAAATTTGTCAACAAAATGTAATAGGACAAAATTTGAGAGAAAGAAAAGGAGTACCGCTCTTTCTTATTTCAATAAATGAAAATTCATGTATTGATATGTCATGTGGGTCAATGTCTTCAATATCATAATTTTCATGAAGTATATTTCATGTTTTGTTATTATAACCTTCAGTTAATACCATCTTCATATAAGATATTTGATTATCGTGTTTAGTATTAGTTAGCATGTTGGTCCGTTGAAAAACACATCTTTTTGTTGTTTTGTTCATGAGTCTCATATACAGTTTTTAACATATAAGAGTATTATTTTGAGATAAGTATCTTGTAGGATATGGATATTCATTACACAAACACCGTGCCTAATTAAACCATATTAGGAAAAATCATGTGAAAAAAATGCTAATGAAGAAAAAAAAAAGAATATATTATACTTTTGAGTACGCTATAAAAATTTTCCAATTAAAAACCTTGAGAAAAAAATCAATGAAATAATAACTTGAACAAGAGAAAAAGAGTATAACCCATATTTAATTTTTCCTCACGATAATATCATTTGAATTATAATTCAGACATAAATTCCTCAAAATAGTAGTAATAGTCATGCCAGATAAATTGGCTACAACCACATTTATTATACACATATCAAAATTCATGCATTGTTAAACTAACAAAATACAGACCTATGCTTGCATCACCACAAAATAATTTATCCATTCATGCAAGTCTTTGCAAAATTCATTATGTTGAGAGATTTTATTTTTTGCATTTTTTTTTCTTTTTCATAAGTGCACTTTTAGTTGTTCGTACGTTAGGTGTTGAAATTTTAGGTTTCTCTAATAGTTTCAATGCTATTAGGATTGACTCCTTTTATTTGGCTAATCATTTAATAGGATCATCTTCATCATTTGCTCCCTTTTTTTTTTTGGGAGATTTTTGTTTTAGAATATATTATAATCACTCTTTAAGCGTATCATAAATTTATTAAATATAATTTTAATAAATTATCTTCTCTAGATGTCAATTTTAGTTGGAGCATTTAAAGTTTGTGTGCGAGGTATCGTTAATTTATTTGATATATAAATGCATGAAAATAAATTATCATTTGAACTTTTGGTTTGAGTTTTCTTTTATGAGGATCTAGTTATTATAATGATGCATTATATATTATTTTTCAGCTTATTTATAACTCTCCTAATGCTGAGAAAATTGTTCAATCAAATTAAAGTGAGCAAATTGCTTTATAGTATCATGAATTAGATCTTAACATATTTCATAGGGGTTCAAAGTAGACATATATTTTAGAATTCTATAATGTCCATTTCAGTGTAATATGGTGGAACGATTGTATATACATAGCACTTATCGAGATCATTAAATGAAAATATTAGGCTTTGACCATAAGCCAAATATATTATAGAAAACTTTGACATTGACATAATGCTAAAAGTTTTGCGACATATAAAATAATATTTCTTGGACGGAAATGGAAAATACCTTGTTCTTAATAGTAATGGTTTAGAGATTAATTGAAAGTGTATAACTAACAATAGTGTTAAATCATTTATTGCTATCTCAAGTAATACATGTTAAAAGATTGAAATTCAGGTTCACTAATAATAACAATACACATCGTCTTGAGTTTATATTCTGAAAATGATGCTCATAATTTAAAATTTAAGTAAATAATCTTGCAAATTTTAAGGTGTGAACACTATGCTACCATCTAGTAATATTACTATTAGATACAAATTATATTTAGATAATTAAAATGGAGGGTGATGGGTCCTTAGATATCACCTTAATTAACTTTTAGTATTATAAGAATTTAGGCTCCACTTTATCTAGTGATAATCAATGATCAATTTATAAGTATTATATGTAAATTTAATGGATTGAAAAATCTTTTGATTCTTCATATGTCTATTGAAATTTTCAATAATTTTTCAAATCTTTGTGGATCCAGGATAATCTAATCAATCATGTCAAATAATAAAATTAAATTAAATTTCTATTTAAATATAAGGTGTGCTTCAATTATTCTAATATTAGTCTCGTGTACTTTAATACGTAGATTTTAGAAACAGTATACCTTTCTTTTACATTTAGTGGATAAAAAATTACTAGCAATAATAAAATCACCCCCACCCCCC